ATATCCTGCGTGTCACGTCACACGGAACGCGCTCCGGGCGGCGTCGCGTAAGTAAACGTGACACGCAAATCCTGCGTGTCACCCGGAACGCGCTCGGGGCGGCCGGGGGACGCGACACGCAGGATTTGCGTGTCGCATAGACGTGACACGCAAATCCTGCGTGTCACACGGAACGGCGACGACGTTGCTCTTGCCGTTATTATTTTGATCTTTTACGAGCGTAAGCAGAAGCTGCGCCCTGACGCCTTGGAGACACGTTGGGCGTAGCGCTTGAGCACATGCCTTCCCGTCGGCACCTCTCATTTGCAATTCGTGGCCGGAATTGGAAATGACCGGAATTACAAATGACCGGAATTTCAAATGAATGCTCTGTACGTCAAACGGTGATGCAATATTGGAAGGCCTACGATGTTCAGCAGTGCAGCGCCAGCTAGCATCAGTATCATGCGGCGCCGCTGCTAGGTGCAAGCAGCGTGTTGAGGACGAGGAGGAGAAGGAGGAAGAGGAGGAGGAGGAGGAGGAGGCACGAAGCTAGAAGAGCAGGAGGAGGAAGAAGGAGAAGAGAAGGAGGAGAAGAAGAAGGTGAGGAGATCCCAAATGGCGGGTCGACAGCTCGCCCCACCCCCCCACCGCCACGCCGCCCGCTTCGACGCTCGCGCGTCCGCCGCGCGCGGCCACACCACCGCGGCACCCAACCCGAGCCGAGCCCCCGAGGCCGCCGCGCCCTTGGGCGCCTCACGGGTGCCGCCGCCGAACCGTTCGGCCCTGGGCGCTCGGCTCCTCCGCAGCGGCGGCCCCGGCCTGCGAGGCGCTGCACGCGCCCCGGGCCTCGCGACCTGGCCAGCCCGGAGCCCCCGCGAGGCGCCGCGAGGAGCAGAAGTACTTACCAGCCTGGAACATATGCCTACCCCTTTGCTGGGCATCTCCTCGCCACGATGCCCCTCTTGGGGAGTCCCTCATCTGTTGAGGGCGCCTCCCCCTAAGATTGGCATCGCCTTTCGGCGTGTCCATCTTAGGGATAGGGATAGGGCTACGTTCGAGGCTGGCAAAGAAGTGCGGTGGCGGGGAGCGCCACGGGCCTCTGACGGCCCGATGCTCTCGAGCCTCGCGGCCCCGACCGCGCGGCCCTTCCCCTGGGGCCGGCGTCGTGGTCCGAGCCGCTTCCTCTGATCGTCCCACGGAAGCCGAGCCCGGCCCCTTGATCGGGGGCGGAAAAGAGGGGGGTGATGACTAGGGGGGGGATATCATGGCGTGGGCCATGACATTTCCCCAGATTTCATGGCTCCTCTTCTTATTTCATTACGTTCCTGGCCCCCCCGCTGGGCCGCGCACATGCCGCTGGTCATGATTTGCACCCCCCCTCTTGGACACCCCCCTCTTGGCCGCTCCCGATTTGAGGCCGCAGAAGCAGAAGAAGTTCAGGCTGGATGTGCTCGAGCCTCTGGAGGTCTGGGAAAGGCGGCGGCGGAGCGCTGCGAAGCCCTGGCCATCGCACGTGCCTGCGCAAGTCGCCGAGGGCGGCCAGTGCAGGGCCTCGGACGATCGTCTGCGTGCAGGGCGCTCGCCCCGGCACAGGCGGAGGCGGCCAATACTCGTCAGTCTCGGGAGGTCTGGGCCCTTCGTGGCCTCCTGCCGCACGAGAGTCTGGCAGCCGCCCCGCCAGGTGGCCTCGCCCGCCTGGGTATCGGCCCCCGTGCCATGGGCGAGCCTCGGGCCGCCGCCGGTGCCTTCCATGCGTTGCCGCCCTCGGCGACTTGCGCAGGCACGTGCGATGGCCGGGGCTTCGCAAGGTTCCGCCGCGGCCTTTCCCAGACCTCCAGCGGGTCGAGCACATCGACTCTGAACTTCTTCTGCTTCTGCGGCCTTAGGGGGCCAGCCTCGGCTCCAAAGGTGCGGCTCGGAGCACAACGCCGGCCCCAGGGGAAGGGCCGCGCGCCCTGCACGCAGACGATCGTCCGAGGCCCTGCAATGGCCGCCCTCGGCGACTTGCGCAGGCACGTGCGATGGCCGGGGCTTCGCAAGGCTCCGCCGCGGCCTTTCCCAGACCTCCAGAGGGCCGAGCACACCGAGCCTGAACTTCTTTTGCTTCTGCGGCCTCAAAGGGGGCCAGCCTCGGCGCCAAAGGTGCGGCTCGGAACACGACGCTGGCCCCAGGAGAAGGGCCGCGCGGCCGGGGCCGCGAGGCCCGAAGGCATCGGGCCGTCAGAGGCCCGTGGCGCCCCGCCACCGCACCTCTGCTCCTCTCGGCGCCTCGCCGGGGCTCCGGGCCGGCCGGGTCGCGCAGAGCACCGGCCGTCGCCTTGGCCATGAAGGCGGAGGGAAAACGGGGCCGACGGCGCCGACGTTCGCGCGTCCGCTGCGCGCGCAAGGGCGCGCGTGAGCGCCCTCGCTTCTTCCAGTGCGGCGTGGCCGCGCTGGCGGCCCGCCCGAGCTGAGGCGTAAGGTCGCCATGCCCTCTCGCGTGAGACCCGTGTCTGGTCGACGCCCATGCCTTCTTTGCCCGCGCGCTTGCCGCATGCCTTCTCCGCCTGAATACCATGGAGCTCCGCCTGCCTAGCTTTCAGTCGGGCCTGTCCCCCTACAGGGGGATTTTCGACGAAAAATAAAAGATACCCCACAAATAATCAAAAAAATACTCCAAAAATAGTCTGGGGACTATTTTTTGAATATTTTTGTTTTTTGGGGCATTTGTTTTTATTATTTTTCGTCGAAAATCCCTCTGTAGGGGGACAGACCCGACTTAAGCCTAGCTTGCGTACGCAAGGATGCGTCATCATGTTCCGCAGCTGCCTGGAGCGCCGCCTGCCTGCCTGCCTTGCGTGTGCGAGGATGCGCTAGCGTGTTCCACGGCTGCCTGGAGCTCCGCTTGCTTCTCGTCCGGCCGAGTCGGTCTGCGCCGAGGCCCCGTCGCCGATGTGGATCTCAGCAGCTGGCGTCACCTTCTCCGTGGCGACGGCTGTGGCGGCCGACTTGTCATGCACATGGCTCGTAGCCTTCATCACGCCCTCTGCGTCCGCGATATACTCCTCGTCGTCCCTGGCCTTCTCCGCGAGGAGCGGGAATAGTGGGAGCGTACGGAGCATCGCGAGCATGGTGGAGCAGTTGTGTTCAACAGTCTGTCCTTGAGCTTGTCGTTGGCCCAGCGCTTCACGCTTACCTATATTATCTGGGTGAGGTCAGGGGCAGTCTGCTTCGAACCGCCATCTTCTCGCGAGCCTCCTCCCACGGTGTAGCTGGTGGCGGCAGGGCCCAGACCTTCTGCCCGCATTCGTCGTCCGCGTCATCAGCACAGCGGCTGACGAGGTCGAAGCCCGCCTTCTGGAAGCTGGCACTCTTCCACAACCTCATCTGACCCCGTGCTCTCCTGCTGCAGCGCTGCAGGTTGCGGCGTCACAGGCTGGCTCCCGCAGGCCGCTTGTCTCACACGCGCCGCGTTCCGCGGCGGGGCCGGTGGTGCTCGGGTCCGAGGCCAGCTGCCCGCCCGCAGTGCCACCCGTGCCGGGCTGATGCCAGCGATCGCTTCCCCAAGGCCGCGGTTCTCGAATGCGCTGGTGATCGTGCAGGGGTATGCGCGCAACGGTGTACCTGATGGTGCCGGTGTGTCTCTCCGCCGCCGCCGCAGCTGGGGCAGCAGCTGCGCACCCCACCTGGAAGTTCAACACTCAGGAGGGAAAAAACACACAGACACAATTATTCGTCGATTCCCAGAAAATATGGGAAAATATGGGAATGGGGCGGGAAAACAAAAAACTCAAAAAATATGGGGGAATCTGTTTATTTGTGTGCATTTGTTTGTGTGTCCAAGGGCCCCTTCAAACACACATGGTGTCCTTTCGGCACTCCGCCTCCGCCTCGTGGTGGGCTCCGGTCCAGAGGAGCTTCACTCGGGCCTCCCGCCCCGCTCGCAGCACTCCCCGCTTCTTGACGCCACCTCCGTGGCTGCTCCGCGCGGCCTCCGGGGCCTGCGCCCTGCGCCTGCACGGGAGGCCGCCGCGGCAGCGGCCGCTGTGGCAGCGCTCGTGGCCTCCGGTGCCGAGCCCTTCACTCGGCCCGGACGAAAGGGGTGGAATTGGGAAAGGGGGGGTTACGAAATTTGCTGCATGCAGCTGGTTTCGGCCTCACCGAGGGGCCCGTTCCTCGATACATGGCCGCCTCCTGCGCCGGGAGGCGCCGGGAACATCAGCTACGTGAGCTGATTCTCAAACCCCCCCTTTGCTATCCCCCCCTTTCGCCCGACCCGATTCACGGGCGGCTCGGACCGCGGTCTCGACGACGTGCCCCCGCGCCGCAGGAGGTGTGGCGCGGGCACCGCCGCGCGCGCGCCGCAGCCAGACCGTGGGGCTTCTGCCCAAAGGTCCACGGAAAGAGGAGGGAGGAGTAAGAAGAGGAGGAGGAGGAGGAGGAGGAGGAGGAGGAGGAGGAGGAGGGGGAGGGGATGGGGGAGGGGGGAGGAAGAGGAGGAGGAGGAGGAGGAGGAGGAGGAGGAGGAAGAGGAGGAGGAGGAAGAGGAGGAGGAGGAGGAGGTTGGCTGGGCAAGTTCAGCACACCTGGAGGCCGAAGCTGTACGCTTGCGTCCTGTCTGGGCCTGCTCGCGCGAGCGGTTCTGGGCGCTCGGGTGGAGTCGTCGGACAGTGTTCCTCTCCCTTGGGCGCTAGAATTGTGGAAGTCGACCTATGGAGAGGAAGCATGCTGCCAAATACTTTCCAGATGTCTTAAACATGTTTCAAACATGTCTTAACACATGTTGAGCACATCTTCAATTCAGTTTTAGGATTGTTGAAGTGTCCGTTGCCATGGCATCCACAACGCTAGAACATGGGAATGCCCTTATTGTGTCGAGGCGGTGTAGACGGCCCACGAGAGGCCACCCATGGGCCGAGAGCACCACCGCCGCGGCAACGACCAGGATGGGGCGCGAATTTTCCTCCGCAGCCATTGGGCACAAGCGTGATGGACATTAGGCTTCACCGTCTGACATCCTTTCTTTTGGAGCCTGCACAATGCGGGCCTCGGCCGCGAATGACTACCATGCCGTTCAGTTTAGCGGCGAGCACGTTGATGGTGTTGTGACGACATGCCTGAAAGACGGACAAATCATACACATTGGCAGTGGACTCGGCAACAATTTCATTGTCCCATGTCGCGGCGTACATCCTTACCATGTGAAGGTTGTGAATGAGCCAGGTGTGGGTTTATTCATTCTGAACCTGTCCGATAACGGCACCATCTGCCGAGTTGATGGAGGGCCAGAAAAGCACCTCGACAGAAAAGAAATGAAACTACATCTGGTGTCCAGCTGTGTTTGTGACCTGATCATGCCCATCAAGGCATACCACCACAAAGGACAGCTTCGTATTCGTGCGTTTTCTTCTTGTCTAGAGCGCAAGCATTCCTTCAAGACTGAGCATGGCAAGTTGATAACAGATGATACACACCGCTTCGCGGCAACACGGCCAGACAGGCAATTGATGCATTAGGAGTCTTTATGCGGAGGATCAGATTGGGGAATGTCCGCGTGTTCAGGTTTGTCTGGCCTGCTCTGTTTTACATGGTCTGTCAGGTCTGTCAGCTTGTCTTTTGCTGCTCATGTGCGTCTATATATGTTCAGTGTTTGGTACTGTCTCGCTGGTCTGTCTGGTCTGCCCGTATTGTCTGAGAAGGGTCGTTTCTCTAGCTTTGGTCGGGTTTGTCGAGTCTGGTTTAGTTCCCCCGGGTCATCGCCATCTGGCCCAGTTTGGGTCTGGTCCGGTCCGCCTTGTGTCTTTGGTCTGGCTGTACTGGTCTGGTCTGGTCAGCCCGGTCTGATACAAGCATAGTCCGCCTTGCGTGTCTGCTAATTCTGATCACATCGACATAATGTATTAAGTTGTCCGTGCAGTGTGGTCTGATTATGATGATTGTGGGTCGTCTGGTCTTTCTGATATGGTATTGTATGGTTCCTTTGATCCTTCTGACCCGTCTGGTCTATCTGCTCTGCTGGTCATGGTTTGTCTAGGCAGTGTGTACCACGTTTGCTTAAGACAGTTGTCCTGCATGGAAGTCATTACAAGGTGTCTCCATCATTCGGATTAGACAGCGGACGATTCGATGGATCGCGGGCCTCTAGAGCAACCCATGGCGCGACCTGTGGCGCAGTACCTGGCAGACAGAGTGGGGTATAACCACTCAGGCACCAGACGATTTGGTGAATCGCAATGCATACCCTGTGTCGCAATACATGGGCGTCAGAGGGAGGTACACCCACCGAGGAAACGGACGGTTTGGTCCTTTTGTGGATCGCGGGGCGTCTGGCGCAACAGACGGAGCGGGGCACACCCGCTGAGGCTCCAGACGATTATGCGGACTGCGGGGTGCTCGGCGCAACCGGTGGCGCCACCCACAGCAGACAGAGCGGGGCACACCCACTGAGGCTCCCTCCAGACGGCTCTGTGGACTGCGGGGTGTTCGGAGCAACCTGCGGCCCGATGTATGGTGGGCAGGCAAGGCCTGCTGAGGCAACGTACGATGCTGTGGACTGGGGGGGCCCCTGCCAAGAGCGGGGCCGTGAAGCTGAGCACTCGGGGCGAGAGGGTGGTCTGCACGGGAGGGGTCGAGGCCTCCAGGAGCCCCCGCCGCGAGGCAAGCGCAGGACGCCGCGGGGCCGGGGAGAGCGGGAGGGTGCCCGCCCGCGTCGCGCTGGGGCCCCAGCACCGGCCACACCCGGTCGGAGTGCCCCCAGGCACTGCTCGCGCGAGGGGGTCGCACGCGTGCCCCCGCGGGGTCGGCGGGGTGTCTCGCCGGTCTCGCCCGGTGGGCGGGCCGAGGGCGCCTCGTGGGCGCCCCGTGCGCTGCCCGGGCATGTCGAGGCGTCGCCCGGTGGGCGGCCGTGGGCGCCGCGCGCGGCTTGCGCCACAGTGCTTGCGCCACAGAGCTGGCATCGTTTCGCCTGCACGTCAAAACTCACACCACAGATCTTGCACCGCGTAGCTTCCAGAAGGTTGCCTGCACGACGCAGCCTGCATCACAGAGGCTGCACCACACACACTTTTTGATCTGCGGGGCGAGAGCGAACCTCTTCCGCTAAAAGCTAGGCGGGCTACGCACAGCTTTAATTAGGGAGCCAAGAGGGTGCACCACACACACACACAGGTTGCACAACGGTGCTTGCACCGCATTTCTTTCACCACACAGCTTGCATCACACATAGATGGCCCCACATTGCTTACAGCGCGCATAGCGTGCACCACATGGGGTGCACCAAATAGCTTACACAACCAAGGTGTAAGAACTCGCTGTTTGGGGTCCGCGTTGGTAGATTGATTTGCGGCAACACATCTCACAGAACGGACGCTCTATGTGTCACATGCAGCTTTTGCCCATTCCCTAGCCACGCTGCTACGATAAGAGCTACAGTGCAAGGCACATAACTGTGGTGCAAGCGCTGGGGAAGCATCTGCGCATACGGCTTCGGGCGCCGGTCGCCTTCGGATCGCAGGTGTGCTGGGGCTGAGGACGAGGCTGCAGATGCTCGCAAGAGGCCGCGGGAGGAGAAGGAGGAGGAGTCGGACCACGAGAGCGCCCCAGAGCCAGTGATGAAGAGCCGCAGGATGCCAGAGGTCCAGGCCGCCCAAGCGGGGCCGCGTGGGATCGGAGGATCACGCGCCGCGTCGCCGATGCATCGGCCAGGCGGCGCGATCCAGAGCACGATATTCTCTATCCCGACGTCGCCGATGCATCGGCGAGGCGGTGCGGCTCTTCGGTTCCACCTTATTCTGCCCCCCTCTGGGCGGCCTGCAAGAGGGAGGGCTGCAGGCGAGCCGCGAGGGCCCACGCGTCGGCGCTCCTGCGGGCGCGGAGCGCAGGAGGGACGAGGGCGCCGAGGGGCCGGAGCTGCGGGGCGCCACGCTGTCGGGGCTGGCGCGCGCGATCGCCGCGTTCTGCCAGGAGAACAGCATGTCTTGCCTGCTGGCGGCGCAGCCCGCACAGGGGAACGCGGCGGAGCGCCTCGTGGCTCCCGCGGGTGCGCAGACGTGCCTGCAGGCGGCCCTGCGGGGCGCCTCGGAGGCGGAGCGCATCGTGCGATCGTTCTTTGCGCGTCGGGCGGGCCCGCGCGGTGCGGCGGTGCCGTGCTTCTTGGCGGGGGCGGAGCGCTTGGACGCCCGAAATGGGCACGGAAAGAATGGGTACTCGGGAGAGAAAAAGATACGGATACGTGTTGTCCCCCTTCGTTTTCGGCCTTTCCTGGCCCTCCTGGGGAATCCTCGTTGTCACCGCTGGATTCGCCTCGAAATTCTGGTCAGAACGCACCCCAAGAGAGGTCCGGGGACAACACGTATCTGTATCTTTCCGCCCCCCAAGGTACAATGCCCAACAGCAGTTCCTGTTCATTCTGAACAGGACTCGCTGTCGGTGTCGCCGCGGCCCGTGTCCATTTGAGACAGAAGGCCGCCTGCCCAACAGCGGCCGCTGTTGGTTTGGGGCAACATATTGTTGTTGTGCATTGTGCCCATTCTTTCCGTACCCGTTTCGGGCGTCCAAAGAGCGTTTCGCCAGATTGTGGGATCTGCCGTCGTTCCGCTGCCTTTTCTCGCCAGGGCTCGGCGCCCATCTGAGCGACAAGCCAGCGAGCACGATTGTTTCCCTCAAGGACTGCCTGGGCAATGTTGGCGACCATGCTTTCTTCAACTTCCCCATTGTAGGAGGACCAGATCTGGCGACGCCAGCGAAAGATTGGAAACTGAAGGACTTCGCAGGAGGTCATGTGATTGTTAACCAGGGCACCCCTCAAGGGTTCGTGCACGGTCTCAACTATCCAAGCGCCTACGGCAAGGTCCGCCACTTCTCCTGCGCGGCTACATGCCGTGTGACTACGTCTCGAGAGCCGCCGACCACGCCGTACTATGCGCTTGCTTTTTTTCGCTTGTCCTTAAGGGAGCCCCGTGTAACATGCGCCGACAGGACGCAACATGTGAGAATTGTTTCCCTCAGGACACGCCGGGCGGTAACATGTAGCATTTATCGGTCGCCCAGGCCTCGCATGGCCGCGATAGCTCGCTCCCCCAGCACAGAAGGCTACAATAGTATGCTAGGGCAGGGGCCGAGGGATCCGTGACGTGTGACAGCTCCCCTCTCGTAGGCTCTGAAAGGCTGTCTTCCCATGGGTTTCGAAAGCAATCAGATGTGACAGAAGGCCTTCGAGGACCTCCAAGGGGCCTCAGGGGGCAAAGCTCGGAGGCCTCCCCGACGCTTCTCCGACGTTTTGTCGGGGATTCTCGCGCTCTTCTGGGAGCCCCCGGAGCTGTATGGGGAGGTCCTCGCGCGGTCCAGGGGAGGTGGGGGCAGTCAGGAAGGATCCCGAGGCCTTCCTGAGCCCGGCAGGGTCCCGTCCCCAGTCGTTCTCGGGACGTCTTCTGCGAAGTCGTGGGCCGCTCCGGGGCCGCATGGGGTCCTGGGTAGTCTTCCGGCCGCTCTGGGGTCCATCGGGGCGCGCTGGGAGCTGCGTGGCGGGAATCGTGGGTTGCTCCGGGGGATTCCAGCAGACTCCTGCGCTCCTGCTTCGGTTTGCCCAGGCAGAGCCGCTTCGGCAATTACCCAGCCCAGAAGAGCAGAGCTGAAGCTCAGAGCTTTGCCTCCTGCGTGAGCGTACACCCGTTAGCCATCTTAAGAAAACGCGACAACTTTCATGGACTCCAGAGTTCGCTTAAGAAAATCAAGAATCTGGACTGGGCCCTGGCCGCTTTCGTGGAGCATCATTCATCGTAGAATTGCCGTACCTCTTGTCCTGGAAAAAACGCTTGGAGCGAAGTCCACCGTCTTAGCGTAAAGTTTCTTAACTCTAAGCAGGTGAGTATTATTCAAGTAGCTTGTGCCATTCTGGCGACCCCCAGAAGGAGTCAGAGTTTGCGACTATCGCGGAAGTTATCGAAAACGCCTGCGGCGGATCACGGCCGTTCCTTGCACTTTTTGAAGCGCCTACGTGGCCAAACGTTTGAGCAAAGGTTGGCCACGCCATTAGACCATGCGTTCCCCCAGCCGTTGTGGAAGCCCTTCGGGGAACACGTGGGAGAGGAAGAGGAGGATGAGGAGACATCTTGGGAGCTTCTTGGGGCATTCTTCGGGGTTTCCTGGGAGCTTCCTGGAGCCTCTTGGAGGCCTCTTGGGGACGTCCTTGGGCTTCCAGGCCCGTCTGACGCCGCCGGATGCCGTCTTGGGGGCCTCGCTAGGCCGTCTTGGGGCCTTTTTGGGGCGCTTCAGGGTTGTCTTGCAGGCCATCCTGGGCGTCTTGAGACCTCTTGGACAGTCTTGGGCCGTCGGAAGGCCGTCCTGAAGCAAATGCCAAAATCTTGCAACAAGAAAACCGCCAGAAATCAATCATCCCTCTCGCTTCGCAGGGTGCACGTCCAGAGCTTTCATTGCGGGGTCCGTTGGAGGCCTCTTTGGCGCCCTTTGAACGCCTCTTGGGGGCTTCTTAGGGCTTCGTATGGGGTTTCTTGGGGGCCCTTTGGGGGCGTCTCGGGCCGTCTTCGGGCGCTCTTGCGCCGTTTGGCCCTTTACGAGGCCATGCTGTGGGCCTCTCGCGGCTGCCTTGCGGCTCTCTTGGGGTCCTCTTGGGCCGTCTTGGGCCTCTCGGACCATCTTGGGGGCCTCTTTGCGCTATCTTTTGGCCCGCTTGGGCCATCCTGGGGCCCTCTAGGGAGCCTCCGGGGCCATCTTGGAGGCTGCTTGGGCCGTCATGGGCCCCCGAGGGTCGAAAGAAGGCGAGAACGCTAAGATCCTTTGAGAGACTGACTGTAGGGGGGATTGATGTTTTTGGCCTCTGGAGGTGCTCTTGGGGGCCCCCTCGGGGACCTCTGGTGCCGTCTTGGGAGCCTTCGGTGCCCTCTTGGGGCCATCTTGGGCCGTCGTTGGGCCGTCTTGGCCCGTCTCGAAACAATCATGAGCTCTCTTGAGACCACTCTGGATCCCTAGGAGACGATTCTGGATCCCTTGAGACCACTTTGGGCCCCAGACGGGGTCCTCCACTTTTGGGTCGACGGAAGTGGCGTGGCTTCGGTGGGAGGGTGAAAGTGGAGACAAAAGAATGTAACACCAGCACAAGATGTAACACTTGTGCAAGATTGGGATATCTTGGATACGCTGCATTACAGCATCCGCGGAAATCACTGCCCTCAGCATGTTCCTTCCCCACGAGGATTCCTCTCGCATCGCGGGGTGCACGTCCGGAGCACGGACATGCCAGCCGTTGTTGGGCCTGGTCGGAGCTTCGTTGGGGCCTCTTGGAGGCCTCTTAGAAGTTTCTTGGGGCTTCTTCGGGGCTTCTTGGGGCCTCTTGGGGGGCTTCTTTGGGTCCTCTTGGGGCCTCTTGGGGGCATCTTGGGCCGTCTTGGGGTGCTCTTGCGCCGCTTGGCCCCTTCGGAGGCCGTCGCGTGGGCCTCTCGCGGCCCCCTCTTGTGCCGCTTTGGAGCCCTCTTGGAGGCCCCTTGGGCCGTCTTGGGGCGATATTTGGGGCCTCTTGGGCCGTCTTAGAGCGTCAGGAAGCGGACAAGGCAAGAACGCCAAAATTCTTCAAAGACCTGAGGGAAACACATAGATCGTGCCTCTTGGGGCCCTCTTGAGAGGCCTCTCAGAGGCGTCTTGGGGGGCATCTTGGATAGTCGTGGGGCCCTCTTGGCCCGCTTGGGGCCCTCTGTCCCCCCATCCGAGGGGGGGTCAAATTGCTGGTTTGGGGTCTCTGAGGGGGAATTATGGGGGGAGCAATCTTACAATCTCACGCGCTTGGAGATGGCCGACGGGATCGGTCGGAGCCCCAGGAGCAGCTCTATAGAAAAGAACAAACAGAGCGAAAAAATACCAGACGTCCAGCACGCCAGACACTTTTGGGACAAATCACCAGGGGTCGGCGGATCGAAGACGTCTACGGTGAATCACCGCCGCCCCCTGCCATTTTGGCAGCTCGTATCTGGCCGACAGTTGGGCCAGAGCTATTGGACCATGTGTTTCCCCAGCTGTTTTTGAAACCTTTCGTGGAACACGTGAGGAAGAGAGGAATGAGGAGATGAAGGACGAGGGGGCAGAAGGAGGAGGAGGAGGACGCCTCTTGGAAGCCTCTTAAGGCACTCTTGTGGTCTCCTGGGTGCTTCCTGGGGGCCTCTTGGATGCCTCTTGGGGGCCTCCTTGAGCCTTTCGGGGCTTGTTCGGGGCAGCGTTGGCCGTCTTGGGGCGTTCCTGGCCCGTCTGATGCCGTCGGAAGCCGTCTTGGATGCCCCTCTGAACCGACTTGGGCCCCTCTTGGGGCGCTTCAGGGTCTTCTTGAAGGCCACCATGGGCGTCTGGGAGGCCTCTTGGGCCGTCTTCGGGCCCTCTCGGGGCCGTCTTGGGGGGCCTCTTCGGCCGTCATGGCCCATCTTGGAGGCCTCTTGGGCGATCTTGGGGCGACCGTGGGGGCCTTTTGGGCCGTCTTTCGCCGTCGGAAGGCCGACAAGAAGCAACAAACAGCACATAAAAAACAAACAAGAATAACAGCTATGAGTTGGGCCTGTTCGGACCCTCCTGAAGGACCTCTTGGAGGCCTCTGAGGACGTTTTGGGAGGCTTCTTGGGGGCCTCTTGGGCCATCTCGGGCCGTCTTGAAGGCTTCTTGGGCGGACTTGGAGGCATCTTCAACCCTCTTGGGCCGTCGTCGAGGCCATATTGGACCATCTTGGGCGAACCTGGAGGCCATATTGGACCATTTTGGCCGTCGAGAAGGCCATCTTGGGGCCATCTTGAGCGAAAAAGCCGACGAGGCAGGCAGCCAGCGGCATGGACGGAAGGCCCAGGGAGAGTCATTTTAGAAAAGAACCAAAACCACAAGCCGTAGGGTTCGCCTTCTTGGAGGCCTCATCGGCCGTCATGTGACGATCTTGGGGGTCCCTTAGGCAGTCTGAGAAGCTGTCAAGACGAAAAAGGCGAATGCGCTATACATGCGAGTTGCCCTAAACATGGGACGATGTTTGCCTCTTGAGGCCTTCTCGGCGGTCCTCTTGGAACACGCTTAAGCCGTCTTGGGGGCCTTATGGGCCGTCCTGAATTCATCGTGGGTCGCCGTGGGCCTACTCTTGGCCGTATCGACGCTCTCTTCGACTGTTTGGCGGCCTCTTGGAGGCTCCGAAGGCCCCAGGGGTGCGTTGGCGAGCTCGTCCCCCCCCCCCCTTCTCAACAGCATTTTGGACCCCAGGAGAGGGGGAACGGGGGAGGGGGATAGCCGAATGTCCCACACGCCTTTTCACCCCGGATCTACGAGTAGTCTTTCTCAGGCTCGTTTCAAACTTGCGCGTCGGCTCGCCTGATTTTGAACACGCCCTCGGGGCCCTCACGTGCCGTCTGAAGATAATTTGACATCACGTGGAGTCGAAGCAATGCTGGAGTCAACAATTATGCAAGAGTCATTCAGTTTGTATTGTCGGGAGGGGCTGTTCGCCAGCCTCGTGGCGCCACTCGGGGCCGCTGGGCGGCCGTCGAGGCAGTCTCGTGGATTGGCTTCGGGGGCGCCCTGTCGAAACGTGTTGGGCGGCATTTGCAGCCCCTCGG